ATCGCAGTGCCCGCTCTGCGAGCTCCATGCTTCTCTCCGCGCTGCCGCGTGGCCAGCTGCGCCTGATCGTAGCCAGGCGCGCTACTTGTCTGTGCCGTCTCACTTCTGGTTGCTCTATACCGCTGAGTATGTGTTTCGTTGTGGGACAATGGTATCCCTGCAAATGTTGCACCTTGAAGAGAGTGCGGGCAGAGATTAGCGTATAGTGATTAATACTACGGCCCAGTTTCCTTGCATCTTTGAGCGAAGAAAGTAGCACCCTATTTCAGCTACAGACCAATTTACATAAGCATGAAAACTACGTCGCCTGAGTGAGAAGTTGTCGGCAATTTGTCTTGACTAGTCAGGCACTATTGAACTATTCCTAACCCAAAAACTCAAGAAAATTTTTCTCGCTGAAACGAGACCTATAGAGTAATTCGATGCGCTGATCACGAATATAACATCCGTTTCGAGCGCTGGCGTCATTTGGCGCCATTATGCGCCAATTTGGCGCCCACCACTTTTTCACCAAAGTTGATGAAAACTTGCATATGGGGGTTAATTGAGGTCCTGATTACGAATATCACACTGGTTTCAAGCGCTGGCGCCATTTGGCGCCATTATGCGCTAATATGGCGCCAAATTGGCGCATAATGGTGTCAAATGGCGCCAGCGCCAAAAATAAATGTTGGATTCGTAATCAGGAGCTCAATTAACCCCATATGCAAGTTTTCATCAACTTTTTTGAAAAAAGTGGTGGGCGCCAAATTGGCGCATAATGGCGCCAAATGACGCCAGCGCTCGAAACGGATGTTATATTCGTGATCAGCGCATCGAATTACATCTATAGGACAACGTTTCAGCGAAAAAAATTTTTTGAGTTTTTGGGATAGGAATATGTAGTTCAGTAGTGCCCTATTCAGTTATACAGGGGGCCCATAAAAAAGACACTTTTCTCCCTTGGCTTTCGAGGCGCTATAAGTTACACTTGATTGAATTCTGATCGAACCTTTTTACTACTATATTAAAGAGCATATTAAATACTATCATAATGCTCCGCCACATCCCTTCTGGGCCACTGCTCATCGCGGAAGATTACTTGCCCGCACAACCATGTTCCGGGGGGGGGGGGGGGGGGGGGGGGGGGGGGGGGGGGGGGGGGGGGGGGGGGGGGGGGGGGGGGGGGGGGGGGGGGGGGGGGGGGGGGGGGGGGGGGGGGGGGGGGGGGGGGGGGGGGGGGGGGGGGGGGGGGGGGGGTTCAGAAGTCGTCTGATTCTCTCCGCCACTGTAGACCACCCTGTTGAACTCCGCCCGAACCAGGTAATTGATAGGGTTTAGGTCAGGTGACCTGCTTTGATATTCCATCTTCTTCCGAAACTCAACAACGCCCCTTTCCATTCCAATAGGCCAAGTTTTTCCCAACCCCTTCAATTTCATTGGTTGTCACCACAATTCTGTGTAGCATAGCAAAAGTTCCAAGACAGGTATGCGGCGACGACATGCATTTTATGGCTGTCGAGCGATATGCTTCCTCGAATTGCCTCTGATGTAACCGCCAGCGCTCACCTTCAGTCCGGGGTCCACGAGGAAAATATCGGTCCTTCCATTCCAGGTACTTCCGGTCCATACCATCAGTCCGCGTCATGGCGACTGTGGTGGAGATGATGTCCTAGACCGTAGCGTCGTTGCGGGAGTTGCTCGATGTTGGAGATCATCCAAATTGGGAGTACTGGTCTCCAGTAGCTACCCATGGGTGACCATACTAGGAAGTTTCGCACCTGTTTGGAGGTTACGTGAATTCCAGAGGTCTTCTCCAGTCAGGCTGCTACTGGAGATGACTTCATATTTTGGTGTACATGAAGGTGATGGGCGAGCGCCAGCTCCTGCTTATCGAGGAACATCTTGGGTATCTTCTGCGTGTGTTTTGCGTGTATTCTCTTTTCTGGGGTTATAGCCATTTCATCCTGTTTCGACTTAGACTCCACGGGAATAGCGTGAACATGATCAGTATTATTCAACGCGCCATCGAAAAAGCGGTGAAAAGCTGGTCATGCGACTGGAGGATGACCGCTGGACTATAGCGATTAGCCACTGGATTTCGCGGTAGGTAGGTCAAGCGAAAACCTAGACGGGCAACTGCGCGATGTTCAGACTTCTCCGCGAAAGCTGCGAACATACGACGTGATGTTCATCGTGTCCTTCGAGCACAGAGAACCCATTGGGCAACTCCATCACGTTGCAGGGCTAATGGAGGCGTTACTGGAACCCGCTCGAGCAACTCAAGAATCAGCGGGAGCACAGGTGATAAAAGTGAAATGCCACATTGGTCCACATGACTAAATGGACGTCAGATACGGGCAGGATTGTGGTTTCCCGTCTTTTCCTCAGCAACAACATAAACTGTAGCCTGATTTGCTGATTATCGCGAAAAATTCCACACGATTCGTGCAGAAAAGAAGGGACGAAAAATGCAAGTCTGCTCTTGCGAAACATTGGCAATTCTCAAGACGATTGTCTGGCTTATACCCCAGAAAACAGGGCAAGTGTAGATTTCCCCTGTTTCCGCTCTTCTCCGTGTATGCTACAATCTTGTTCGCTATAGATGCTGGGTTCGAAGCGTCTTAGTATCAGCAATGAACAAGATTGTGCATACACGTCTTCGGTATTCTCCGTGATAGACTTGCAGTGTGGTTTTGATCGAAGTGAGGACTACCTTTGTCCAAGGGTGCATCAATGAAGGGTGCAAAATGAATCGTATGCGGTTTTTTAGAACTGCAGGAATTTGCGTCACTGTTCTGGAACCGCCTCTGTAACTTCCAACTTTTCAGAGCTATTTTCGAGCCCTTCAGCTGTATCCCGAAGTATCCCGTTCCATTCATAACAAGGTGCATCACTAGTAAAAGTAGGCTCGTTTGTGATGTAATGCCTTTTTGTATGTGGTCATATTCCAGCACTTCTCTGACACTGAAGTTAGATATCGATATCACAAATGTCTCGTGAAAGAAAAAAAATATGAGGAAGCGTTAGGTGAGTAATTATTCATAGAGAAGACATCTAGCCACTAATCCATAACTTATTAAATTAGTTCAAGATTCTTTTTCGAACATATGGTTCACTAAATACTCCCTTCTTGCTGTGGAGGTGTTGAAAATCAGAGCTCAATGAATATTTTTTGTTCCAGATATGTTTTGAAATCATGACAAGATTTCAGAAAGTCAATTATAAAATTCTCTAAACTTCAGAAAAGCGTCAAAACTTGCTGAACGTCATAGCTTTCGGGCTTTTTTTGTGGAGAAAGGGTAATTGATGTAGGCGTAAAATGGGTGGATTTTCTAAATTGCTCGCCATATTATTTTGCATTCCATACCGTCTCAGCAATACCGGTATCTCTAATCCCTGATACCGCTATCTACTCAGAACATTGAGCTGCTCGCTTCCTTCGTGATCCTATAAAAGTCTATAAAAACATGTTCTATAGAGCACATTTTCAGCGGTATTGGCGAAAATACCGGGTCATCAATACATCCCAAAAGTGCGGTATGCGATGGCAAAACTCCTGGCTGGAAAAGATCACAAGGGTCTGAACATGTCAATTTTATATCTCCAGTAAGCGACTACATTATTGGTTCTGATATGAATTTCGAATCGTTTCACTTCTTTACCTAAGCCATTCTGGAACATTTCAGAGACGTCTTCACAAATTGTAACAGCGCTTTTGGTTGTTTGGCAACTGTTCTCCGAAGTGGCGCCTCCATTGCTGCAAATATGGACGTAGAGTCGATTTCCGAAGGCTTAGAAGGTTCAGGTGCTGCTAATCTTACGACTTGGCTTGAGGGCACAGAAGCTTCTTGGGTGCTGGACAAACTGAACAAGCTCTCTCAAAGTCATGTCGCTCTTCAGAACCGAAACAATCCAAAGGAGTTGCCGATCAGGACTTGCCTATATGTTGAGGGCTGTTTCTTGTTTTCGCGTTGCCGCGGCTTTTCGACAGTCTGCTTCCAGGATTCTCACTGAAATGGGTTTTATGTGGCTACAGTATAGCTTTAGAGCGAGCGCCCTATGAAGCTCGCTCTGAGTTGCCAAAGCTCATTTCGCTAGACATGGGCGAAACGGCAGTATGATGCTTGATGGATGAACATTAGCCGTAGGTTTTCTCTCTATATATCTTATATCTGGCCAGAAGAATAGAGTCTCCTTGAATAAATTCTGATCTCAGATACTTAGATTATATCTCTTCCCTATGCCCAAGACTCAATTTATATCTATATTTCTATATGAATTCTATACGCAGACACTGGTGATATCTATTGGATTGCACTGTGGACATTTGCGGCGCGCGTGGTCGTTTTTTGCCAAGTTAGGTGTTCAAACTGCTCCGTCATGGCAGTATCCCCTACAGTGCAATATATCTATTTGAACGACAAAATAGAACCTTAATCCACAGTTCAGGAGCAATATCTGCGGTGGTGATAACTTTTTCACGGTAACAAAATTTATCATTTATGTAGAAAGCTTAATTATATCTGGCTCTTAGTGTGGATTTGTTCACAAAATCATGAACAAAGATAGCGCTCGTTATAAACCGATAATCGTGAAGCTATGCATGTTGAAACGCTTGTTTACTTGATCTTTGAGTCAGACATCATTTTACTCAATGGTGGGATCAGGGTATCTCAGTTACCATAAAAAACGCTTTAGTTTCAAGCTGGCTGAATTAGAAGTGGAGCTGCGTCAGTGACTTTGTTCACGTTCTGAGTGCACTCGAGATTGCAGAGCTGTATCGCTCAGGCACTTATGTTTATTAACGTTTTGCGTTCTTTCTCTGAGCAGCGGTCTGAGAACGCTAGCTCCAAACGCTCAACAGCGTATCTCTATTATCTATTCTGTCGCTCGAACGCTTCTTAAGTTACGTTCGAATCGCTGTATTCTTTGTGTATATTATCTCTCTCTATCTTTTTTTAGGATTTATACTTGAATCAACCCTTCTTATTTTATATCTCCTTATCCACTGGTATTTCTGGAGTAAAGCTGCGTGCGCATTGGTTGAACATTCAGCAGAGTGTTACTCATATCAGAGATTTCAGGACCCGGGACAACTGTTTATCTTATTACTTTATTACATGATCACAATTGTCTCAAAGTCCAAATACATCTTACGATATATCTTCTAATCACCCGCCACGTTCGATCTAACATATTATTTGGTCGTTCATGCCGTGGTGAGCTTTTTCAAAACGATTCGTTGCATGTTGTAGGGGTCCATACAAGGACCACACAGATGGGTTTCATTTTTTTTTTTGCTAAACGCTATTGGGAATGTCAATAAAAAAGAATAATATAATCAAATCGCCTGAAATACGCAAGTTTTATCATATCGTCGTCGTTCTTGCATGTTTCACGCTGCTTTTAAAGGCAGGTAGACATGTATTTTATAAAGTTGTTCTCAAATCTAACATGAAAACGAACATTGAATCAAGTCGAAAGTACAAGTGCTTTATCGCATACAGTGAGGTACCACTGCAATATTAGGCGGCTCTATCTAGACATCCCTTCGCGCTCGCAGTTGCCTATGTTAGCGCCACGCTGCGCCTCTCTATATCATCTTATCGCGCCAAATAAATAATTATCAGAAGTGCGTTTTTGATGCAGGCCACTGATACCCTGTTTGAAAGTTTCAGCTGAAAAAAATTTTTTCAAGTTCTATTGCCGTCAGGACCTGACCCCGTTGAGTGCTCTATGAGCATGAGAACCCTCGTTAATATCCCATCGGCAGAAACGAACCGCCAAAATTTCTATTTCTTGTCCCCTACAACTTCAGTAGCGTCTTAATTAGAACACACCTGAAGCTTCCGGAGCACGAACACGAGAATTCTGGCATTCTTCTTCACTGTTCACCGTCTATGTCTTCGAAAAGAACTCTTACCACTTGCCCGAAGAAAGCGATTTCCTGTCGGTCTCCTCATATCAAAGCTGACATATGAGAGGAGTGCAGTTGTATGTGCATGCCACTTAGCTGGATATCATGGCGGCCAATCATAACATAAAAAGTCGGTAACATTTTTCTCGGCTAACTCATATACGTAGAGTAATTATGGTCCTGATCACGGTTCACATACTTATTTTGCCGCGGAGGCCATCTGGGGCCAAGTACGGCGCTAAATAGCCCCGCCGCGCAGACTGACAACGATGGTAGTACGAGGAAGCCTTCGCGCCAAATTAGCGACACATTGCGCCATATTCAAAAAGATGAGTTGTCGTGTTCATGAACAGAGCATCGGATAACCGCCTAAAGCAAGTTCCATGAAGAGTTTTTTCGATAGTATTTCGCGAGCGTAATAATTGAGTGAGGCCTATGGGAACCGACTGTGCCTTCAAATGGCCCCCTTCCGTGTATGCCGCCGGTATAACACATTATGGGGCAACAGGAATACAAGAAGCAAAAAATTTGTGAAGGAACATGCAAAAATTCGTGCCGCAGAGCGCGGACACTCCAACAAATCCACCGTCAGAAGCCCGCCTCGCACTATCCACCACACCATCCGCCACTCCGACCCTTGCGGTACAGAACCTGATGAAGAGATATCGCAGATGACCGGAAAACTCCAATGCAGCCCAACGCATGCCAAGTAGACATTGGTTTTGGACCTTATTTTGGCGCTTTCTTACATGCGGCTTGCTCAAAAGAATACCCTACATACTATACCCCTGACAACGCTTACAGGCTAGAATAGAGAGGGGGGGAATAAGGTGGTTTAAAAAGCCCATTCTTTTCGAATTGTTTTTGACCTTTTTTTGACATTCCCAAAACCGTTTAGCAAAAATGAACCCCATCGCTATGGTCCTCGCATGGACCCCTACAACATGCAACAAACCGTTTTGAAAAAGCTCACCACGGCCTGAACGACCTCCCTTGTAAGTGCGCAGCCACGCCTACCGCATCTCAGGAATCTGGAGTGTATATGAACAGGTTACGGGTTCCGAGACATTGCAGATGTATAATTCAATATCGCCCGCTCTTATACGCTTGGCTCAAAGTTCCTTTTGCTCACTACTCGGGGGACGAGGCACCAAATCTCTCTGTTGCGCGAATAGATTTGCTTATTTTTCATGCATCCGCCATCTCCTAGAGCACAGCGTTTCGGCATATAGAAGAATCCGCAAATGTAAGCGACCACACCTGCAATCTTCTCTTCTTTATTTCAAATGTCGCACCATTTTGAGCCCAATGTACCCTTGTTTAGGATCGCCTTTGTGCATAAACAACAAATATCCAAAAACATCGTCTTACTTTGAAGGCCGTCTTTGCGGCGTTTCCACGTAGATTATCTTGCGAGGGCAGTGGTATTTCTTTTCTATTATTGGCCCGCATGCATGAGGGAGTGATTAACAGCAGCTTATGACTTTTCCAGAAAAATGTAGTTTTTCACGCCTAACTCGCTTTTCCTCTCCCTGCGAATGTTATTGACATACATTAAAGTATTTCGAAAAGTTCTTAGGCTGCGCTACTTTGTGTGGCCGTTTTGAGCGATTAGTACGTAAACATACGTTTTGATCGTACGGCCCCAGCGGATTTCAGCGCCCTGCGCGCCGAATAGTTCAAAGGTAACCACGAACGAAGCTCCTAGATGCGGTGTAGCGCTCAGAGCGCTAGGTCAATATCTAATCACAACTCATCTATACGATCGCTCAAAATGTGCCGTATGCACTGGCGTGCGTACCCAAACGCAGTTGGCTGACTCTAATATGAACGAACTCATTATCTGGAGATTAGAGTCGGGAAATAGGTTAATCCGCATGACGGCTATTTGAGGAGGTGGACTCCGGTTCTAAAGAAGAGACGTGGCAGCGCAAGTAGGTGACGGGGGGGGAGGGCATTTTTGTAGCTGAGATGTGCTGGGGTCTTTAGTGCCGGGTTTGACATGTCTTACGGTCTGATTGAGGACTTGTCGAAGGCTCTGTGAAGCTTGGAACAAACGGGTCGATCAAGCCACTCAATGTATAAAGACGCTGTCCGCCTCGATAAGAGCCGCTGTCTAAATGGTCGCACGGTCGACTGGAAGTAGCAAAAGAGCAAATATTCCCCCCCCCCCGCCCACCCCCCCCGGTCGGCATACCTGCGCGCGCATGGTGGATAAATGCCATCGCGAATTTGAAGAGTTATAGGCACACTCATTCAACCTGCCGGTTCAAGTCCATTAACTTCATATCTTTGATAATTTCAGAGAAATTTGATGATGCAATGCGTCATCTGAGCGCAGCCATTAAACGTGATGTGAAAAACATTGATTTGTACGAGTTACAGATTGTGACCTATCTTCAGCGGGAGAAGTAAGTGTTCGAGTTTTTTCTTCAACTGCTGATTCACAGTAGTCGTTTTTCGACATCCGTTCCTTATGATCATGTTTTCGACCAGTTTAGAATCCGCGAAGCTCGTGCAGCCGTTGCCATTTGCATGCAACACCTTCCAAATTCACCTAGAGCACGTGTTCTTAAAGCGCAAGTATTACTCGCTACTCCAAGTGGTAAAGAGGTAATCCTGAAATTCAACAATTTTTCTTTGTGGCTTTTGTTGCAGGATCGGGTTATACTACATTTTTTTAGGAAGCACAAACGATTTTGGAGGAGGTAGTGTTCGCCCATCCTTATCTTCTTGAAGCTGTGTGGCTTCTCATAAGTCAGTATGACAGTACCCACAACTACCAAAAAGGCACAGAAGTTTTAAAGAAACTAACGGAGGTACGGCCTCTTTCAAGCAGGTACAGAATCGGGATGGTGAAATGACGGTGCCATTAGGAGTTCCTCACGAGCCTCAGAATGACCCCCTTCCAGCTTCGTCAAATTTAAAAGTTGACTGTTATGCTACTGCTGTGCAGAGGTTATTCATCGGGTGCCTCTACTTCGGACTCTCTTTGGACGACTGTTCTCAGAAACGAACTATTAGTGAAACTCAAAATAGCATCGAAAAGCACCGGATTCATTATTTTATAGTTAGCCAACCTTCCCGTGAGTACTCCCCTATTTAGGAGGAATTTTTGATGCGTGCTTGATGGAATATTGAATTGAATCGATCAAAAACCTTTACTGAAAAACTCATGCGAATACTCATGTTCAGGACAACCATATTGTTTTCAGTACGCAATCTTGGCAATACCAAAAACTTCATCGGAAAGCAGAACATATCCGCTCTCCAAACTATATTATGTTTTCTTGTGAAGATCTGCTCGTTTGAGAAAACTTCTAGATGGAATCTTCATAAGAGAAACTCTGAGCCACCCAAGCACAATTTTCTCTGCCGTTATAAGCAAACTCAGCAATAGTAGTACACCCTCAGAAACATTTCCTCTCTGAATCGCAAGAAGAACTTACTTCGCTTGGATTAGCGTAGACTGACTTATTCCATGAAGGCAGTCGACTTCCACGCTGAGGCGAATGAGGAGAGTTCTTTCACATGACGTTTGCCAATGCAAGCAGTTTTGGCTTGATGGTTAAGGAAGGTGCATAACTTTACTATGCTTTGTTTGCTTGTTCCAGTACACGCTCACCCTTGCCCTAATGGCACCGTCATTTTCTAGCGATCAAATATGACCTCTTCTTAGGGTCCTCCTAACGATGCTGTACCTTGTTTCGAAAGTCATCGCGTTGTTTCTGCGAGCTTATCGTCCCATTTCCAGAATTCAATGGTTCCTTTCCATTCGATGGGCCGATTACACCATCAGCTTGGCGAGTTCTTGTCAAAAACAGGTATGCCCGCAGCGGCATATCATCATACCAACCTCGCTCTCACAAAACAGTGTGAAGAGGCAGCGGTTCAGGTGAGTCGCTTTCTAGTTCCCCGTTTCGGCTGCTTGCAAGCCATTACATCTTATACAAGGCTGTGCCCATACTCTGCGGCGGCGAACGCCAGCGTTTGCCAGCGTACAGCAGCGTCCAGGAGTGGGAAGTATCGGAAAGTAGGATAGAAGACAGCTGTATTAGGCGTCTTGAAATTGCGGCGTGTGCAGCTTTACCGTACAGTTGCACAACACATATCAAGGTTGCATAATTCTGTGGTTTAATAGTTGCACGGTGCGGTTGCACTCGCCGTAATTTCCTGATCTAGCTGCCTGCTTCCCTCCTACTTCCCCATACTCTTCATTCCTGGGCTCTAGTGGACGCTGCCGCAAAGTATGTTTGCAGCCTTAGGCACGTTACCTTGACACATTACCGTTACCTTGACAGTGACACAATGACGCAAGCGCGTGGAATATTGCTAGACACGGCAGCGGCGTTCATGTCTACTTGGTATACTTTAGTCTTCTAACTGGTTTCCGTTTACCTGTAACAGATTACACATATAGATAAGCACAAGCAACAGTACACAGAAGTAAAGCGGGACACAAACATTCGCAGCGTTCGAGGCGAAAGTGTGGCTCGTAAGCGGATGCGTCCAAAAAAATGGTAGTCGGTTCCTTCTGCATTGTTTATTTAGTTTTGCTTGCTATTTTAGATGACACATTTGGAGCCGGCGTTGTCATTTCACACACCTCCTATGCCAACTACTCCTACATGTGCTCCGTCCGAATGTCCTGGAGCGCCTCGCATCCGTGGAAGACATCGGCATGCGACACCTGGTTCAACCGCATCCACAGTTGCCGCTGACTCCGACGGACGTGGTGTGCGGCTGTTTTCATTTGATTCTCCAATGGATGATACAAGCGGTGAAGCGATGGATGTCCCTTCAGAATGATCGGTTTGGGACTCTGGACGTCTTTCATTTTTTATCTGGAAATGTTCTCATGTACATCTACGTGTAGATTTCGTATAATGCGATGTATTACCTTGACGTAAATTTCTAATGCAATTTCTTGAAATGTAAATAAAGTTCATATGTCTCGTAATACGCTCATTTTTTTTTTGTTTTGGGGATCTCACATCATATTGCTTCGAACAAGGTGCAGTCACAGTTTGAAGAACAAACTGAACCCTCGCCTACGAGAAGGTGCTTGTCATATGCGAGATGAATGGGTCCGCAGGTGTAGTCAGGATGTTGTGAAGCTTGTATTGCACGTCGGATAGCATAGCTTCTTTATTGTCGTGACATAGGGAAAACTTTGTAAGCTAACTGAACCTCACTCTGTCAAGAGTGGACTTATATATCACACTATAGTGATATGAACTTATAGGGAAAACAGAGATTATGGGAGAAAACACTCCCGCCCGAAAAAAAAAACAGAATACAATCGACATAAATCTTAAGATCGCAATATTAGCAGGTGGCCTTCTTTTGGATAATGCGATTCTTCTTCTTTCTTGATTGCGGTAATGTAAAAGTTGTAGAAGTCGAAATTATGGATAGTGTTCTTATTCAGTGTTCAGTTTCTCATAGGATGTATCCTTTGCTTGTTTCTGCTTTCCCTGTGGCAATAGGGTCTTGACTTGTTCCTGATGATCGTGGTTGTTTGTTGTGCTTCTGCTGAGATCGTTCTGTCTTGCTTATGAAATAGTTTTCACTCCATCTTTTCCAAAAGTTGTTAGGAAGTTTTAGTGTGAACTCCCATTGTTTCTGAAGATAGCCTTCTTTCGTTCCAAGCGTCCATTCATGGTTGAATTTGTTTTCGTCTTGTATTCGGAGTGTTTCCTTAAGTTCAAACGGACCGAGGGAATCCTTGATCGTTGGAGAGCATCCTGTATCGATGTCGCTGTGTACGCATGTCAGTGGTCGCCTGTCTGCAATTGGTTCCCATTCTTTGGCCGTGAGAAATTGGTTGAACAGCAGCTTCCGAATTTGCTTGATGGTCTTGAATGATTCCTCGGAGCTTTTGTCTATGTTTTCACCTTGCCATGGTGTGCGAGCCGGAATGGATTTGGAGTTGGTGTTGTGCCGGATACAGTAGTCATCGACGATATTGCTATTCGCTTTGGGAATCGGAGGGATCAAGTTGGTTGCTAAAAGTAGGTATAGGGATAAGCGTAGGGATGACATCCATCTCCTGCGAAGGAGGACTGCTGGACGCGGGCGGTTAAATGATGATGCTGAGTTGAGAGCTTCGTCTCTTTTCTTTGGAGGTTTCGTCTTGTTTTCTATATAGGCGCGGTGATTCTTCTTTTTCTTCTTTACCGATTTGGAAGTGGCTGAGTTTACTTGTCGATGCGAAGTCAGCTTCGTCTTTCCAGAATAATTTGGAATTGTGTACGGCTTCTTCCTTTTCTTCCTAATCCGCTGCTTGTTTGGAACTTTCCGTTCCGAATGAAGGGCTTTATACTATCACAATGTTCATCACCATCATAAGGTGTTGGTTCGTTCGAGGCTTTGAGACAGAGGTCGTCATTCTTGGAGCGTAAATCACTTGATGTACTAGAGGATTCGCTTGTCGAGAACCTTTCTTCCGTTTCGTCTACGTTCTGTTTGTTTAGCGATTGACCTTCTTCGTCTTGTACTGCCATGTTGATAGTGCGGGTTGATATTCTCTTTCCGGAGATTATTTTTCCTAGTCTCGTGTTCAGTAGATTGTATCCGTTGGCTAGTGTGGAGTTAAAGTCTGTAGACAGAATCATTTGCCAGAAGTGGTCCATGCCGATGAGAATGCCTGTGGCTTTGTTTTTTGTGGATATCGAGAAGTTACTGTTAAGTTCTTCTGTGATAATCGGAAGGTTGAATGGAATCGGAAGGGGTTTTGTAAGGAAGGGGAGTGATTGTACTTTCATCGGATATAGGGAATCGTTCGTTAGCAGGACATTTACATCATACTGCTTCGAATGCACTGTCTGGGACTCCTTATTGCCGAATGTGTTGAGAGTGATGTTCTTATCCTTGATAGGCTCTAATCCAAGCTTCTCTGCTACCTCATTTGTTATGTAGGAGTGGGTTGATCCACTGTCCAGAAGGGCTAGTGTTCGCACTCTCTTCTTGTCGTCATTCGGATTCGTCAATGTAACCTCAGTGCACATGAGTAGGATTTCTTCACTGTTCGATTGCGATGTATCTTGCTTTCCTACACTTGCTGTGCGACTGGCTACTGAGTAACATGGGTCATTTTCTTGCCTTGTGCTTTTGTCCTTTTCAATTTCCTCTTTGGTTACTTCCGTCGTCTCACCCGAGAAGTTGATTAAGTTCTCGGAAGTGGTGTGGTTGTTATATTGTTTATCATATGCCCTACTCTTATCGTATGTCTTGGTTTTCTCTTTTGTAGGCCAACTTTTTGAAATGTTCTCGGTAAATGGATTGTTATCTCTATTTGGTAGGACTTTGTTTTCGGACTGTTTTGTTTGATAGCAGAGGGAGGCATGATGTTTACCGGCTGCAGAAGTTGCAAGGTGGTCGATCACATGAACCTGGCTTATGATCTCCTCTCAAACATATGATACAGAGCTCTCTTTGGTGTGCTCGGTCCCTTCTTTCTTCCGGCGTGCTATATTCTCGACACTGGAAAGCACTATGATTCGAGGCAAAAGGGGCAAGATTTGCGTGAAATCCAGTCTTTGGTCCGTTCAGAGTCTCTTGATGCAGACGTTCTTCCTGTACTGTAACGGCTGGAGTTATAAGAATTGGCGTAGTTTCCAAGTTGCATCAAAGTGGTCTCTTTTCTTACAACTTCGGCGAGCAGATCAACTAATTGACCAGGGGTGAGGTTCATCTGTCCTTCTGTGACGTCGTAGATTCTCGATTGGACAAATCGTGGGAGCTTGTTGTAGAGGAGGGCCCCTAGTCCGTATTCTGCCGTATCTGGGGTGATGGAGTTATATTGTCGGACAAGACGCAGCATCTTTAAATAGAAATCCTGCAGCTGTCTTCCTTCTTGGTCGCACTGTGGAGACTTGCTAGCTCCGTGTAAATTAGGTGACGAAGGACTTGTGGGTTATTGTACGTTTGGCATAAGATGTCAACTGCTGTGTAATAGTCTTCTGAAGTGATTGGTATTCCTTCAATGCATTCTAAGGCTCGACCTTTCAAACAACTTTTGAGAATTGAAAACTTTTCTGCTCCCGAGATAGTCATTTTGGAGTGCACTAAGGCATCATATTGTGCCCAAAAAGTTGGGAATTCGAGCAAGTTCCCGGTGAAAGTGGGCAATCTAACTCTGGAGAAAAGGTATGGGTCTATTACATTCATCTGTGGTGATCCGAGGCTATGATGTGGGTATCCCACATGCAGACTACCATGATGGCTACAAGTGCACTCACGTGATGCAGAGATGTTTGGTTTGATTGGTATCTGGATTCCTGCTGTTGTAGTAGAGACGCTTGTTCTTGCTTCTTCGGATTGCTGGTCCTTTTGTTGTTCCGTGGTCGCCATGTTGTGAAGCTTGTATTGCACGTCGGATAGCATAGCTTCTTTATTGTCGTGACATAGGGAAAACAACCGCAAACTTTGTAAAACTGAACCTCACTCTGTCAGGAGTGGACTTATATATCACACTATAGTGATATGAACTTATAGGGAAAACAGAGATTATGGGAGTAAACAGGGTTAGGGTACAGCATCGTTGTGCGAAACCCATGGGGGGTCGTACTTGGCCGCTGGGGAGGGGGGTCGTAATCTCAAGGGTCACTCAGAGCCGGGCAATGCTTCGACATTTCAGTTGATAGTGGGAGTGGAGCTATGGAAGTCAAGATGTTAAAAAATGAAAATTATTATGAGTGTATTCTTTACAGATTGAACTGCTACGTTTAACAGCCCTCTTTTCATGCAAAATCCCCAAAATGGGTTCGTACTTGGCCGCGGGGGACATGGGGAGTATCGCAAAAGTAGGCTCGCTAGGCATCAAACAGTACAAAAGTGTCATTGCTAAGTTTGATGGAACGGACGGAAAGCTGCAGAAGACCCGGATGTAAATAGGACTACAAAATAATAAAAAAATTTATTAGCAATATAGCAAGAATATCAAGAATAAATAAATAAATAAATAAATAAATAAATAAATATCAGTTAATAGCATGAACTCGTAAGTACGTAGATGACTAAATAATACGTCTCAAACAGATTCGTGCGTATCCTTTCCAAACCCTAAACAAACATCTGCTTGCATGGATAAAAGCACCTGAAATCAGAATTTACACCTTTCCACCACCTCTGCGTAGGAGCCTAATGCACGGCACACTCGGACCAAATCGATCAGTGATAGCCGAGCTCCTCTTTCACTCATTTGAAGGGAAATATGTGTTTTGGAGGCACACTGAAGTTTTCGAAGGTGTATTCTCACAATGGCACAGGAGTCGATTTTTCGGGTGGGTCAGAGGGTAGCGCGTCTGTGACCCATCTAAAATATCTCCTGAACTAGTGGGTCTTCAGAAAAACTGTAAAGCTTATTGGAAAGAGAAAAGATGGAGGGGTTTCAGGACGATTTTAATCCTGATGAAATTGCGTTTGAACGAAGCAATCCTCGCGTGAAGCATGGAAACCAGCTCGCGATTTACCCCTAGCCTATCCAAAACCCATCCGGAATATTTCACCAACGGGGGATTGTTCAGTTTGCAACTAGGTAGAATACACAACAGTAGAAACTTTGCCGTTGCATGCTGCTCACCATTCCTCAAAAGCTCCGCACCTAAAAGAGATATAAGCTCCTGAAAAGACCCCAGAACGCTGACTTTCGAGTTACCGCGCTCCAATGACGTTTTTGCAGCGAAAGCGGTCGCAGCCTTGCGATCGATAATAGCCAAGTATAGAACGATTTACTGCCGCCTGGTTATCCTTTTTTCATTTGGCTCCGCATTTTTTTGCATTTTTCATGTTTCGCTTTGTTGTGT